ATTGTTGGTTAACAATTGTATGTATTGATTTGTAACCATTAATACATGTCATTTTTAGAAATAATACAATATATCGTATTTTTTTAAATTATATTTATATATGAAAACTAACTTTTTGCAGTTGACACCATTAATAATATTAAAATGTACTTTTAACCTTGTAATAAAGGTGCTGTCTTCCGTATCTTTCTTCATATTGTGCATGATAAAATATAACACATTCCATCTTAACATTGAAATTGTAAGTTCATAACTTATTGAGTATCCGTTAAATAGAAGTAAATTGTCCATTAAAAAATTTTTATTGCATCAAGTGTTTTTAATATTTACAAAGATAGTAAATATAGAAAATTAATAACATAAAATAGGTAAAGAATTTATTCATAGAGCTTCGATATATATTCAATGAGTTAAAGGATAAAAACGAAATTGCAATTATATATAAATCTGGTTACACTGCTAAACGTTACACGATTATACTTATGGGTAAGATAATATTTATTAATTTTTTGTAATAATATTTTTAGTTGGTAAATATGCAGAAGTAATGCTTTCTCAATTATCGTGTTTTTTTTTCAATAATTAATAAAACTAGTTATAACAAGATAGGTATATCATATTTTAAGAGAAGGTTTGTGATTTCTGTGGGAAAAATTCTATTTCACAAACAAATAAGTAAATAATAGTTTCGTTTTTTATTAAAATGTTGATGTAAAGTTTCTTTGTCTTTCACATTATCTATATTAGCTATAAAATCGCAGTAAAACGTTTGCAAAAATGAAAAATGTATACACTTGACTTCTCCTTCTGTTAAGGGGCATTCGACTTTCCACGCAAAGCAAGATCTACCTGAGTGAAAAGTCACGTCACTGGCAGAGTAAGGGGTGGAACTCGTTTCGCGTGGAAAGTCATCATAGAACTTATAGTATTGTAATAGAAGGAAAATACGTCGAGCTGTGAGCAAGATCTAAAGGACAGAAATATCTTTCGATCCTCTTTTATTTTCTTTTAGCACATGCGCAGAAAGAAGAAAAGTTACTGAGCAGAACAGAAATATTTTTCTATCCTCTTCTATTCTCTTTTGGCACATGTGCAGAAAGAAGAAAAGTTACTGAGTAGGACAGAAATACATCTTCTGTCTCTCAGATCTTATTCATATTTTCCGCTCATTGGTTGGATAGGTTATTCTCCATCCATTACTACACTGAAAGAAAAGATTGGTTGCTGTAGTAAATTAGATGGTTAAATATGACATAGCATTTTTAATTGATTGCAACGGTCAAAATTGATTGCTGCAGTCAATTAAAAATGTTATGCGATAACCATCTAATTTGCTGCAGCAACCAATCTTTTCTTTCAGTGTATAAGTTCTATAAAAATCGTGCGCCTAAACAGGAGGAAAGGGGGGAATAAGGTGAACCTCATTTGCGTAGAATCACTAGAAGAATCTTTATATTTATAAACATTGAAGTGTATAGTCGTTCAAAGATTTTTGTTCATTAAATTTGAAATAGAGATTTTTTTCTCATAAAAATCACAAATTAAAACGCCCTCTTAAAACATTGTATATACTTTAATTGTATTTTTTTGTAACTAGCTTTATGCATAAATGAAAAAAAAATCGTGGTTTTTAGTGAAGCATCATTTTTGAACACTTAGCCTTTCATCCGACCATTTACATATAATTTATTATATAAATCTGTTGAAGCATGTTTTTAATAAATTAAATAAAATTTAAAACAGTTAGCAATTTTACAATAAAATCTTATTCTATTAAAAAATGTTTCATAATACACCATACACGTAAAATAACACAGTTATCATTTTTGCTGTAAAATTCAAGATAAGAATTATTTTGTAATGCATACGTACAGCATACATAAAACAATTTTAAATACTGAATATTTAAATAACAAATTCTTTTTACTTCTTTTTAGTATTAGAGATTTGTGCAATGTTCAGTCTTGTAATAGCTCAAATTTGGTCGTTTGTAGCTGATGTTAATACAATGAATACATCTCAATCACATAATTTATTCATTATGACAGAGTATCTTGTTGATCAAGAAAAGTATTTCTATTGGATTCTGTTATATATGTACACAGTGTTATGTATTGGATCGATTATAATGTTGGGGATAGGTACAATGTTCATTACATATATTGAGCATATTTGTGGAATATTTAAAATTGCTAGGTATGAATGGACCAAAGAGCATAATAATTTTAACTGTTATATATAATTTAGGTAAAACTCTTGTTTAGGATATTTCGAACCAATAATATATGTTGTCAAAATCATAATCTGAAACACCATCATTCAAAAGATTTTCATTGTGAAGTTGTTTAACAAAAAGTTATTAATAAAAAGTTGATAATATAAAGACATCTAACTCCATTATTTGAATTTTATTTACAATTAGTATAAATATCACATTATTCATATTATCCTTGATTTAATAAATATGATACATTGTAGTGGTAAACAATGTGAATTTGCTGTAAAATTACAACATAAAAATGATGCCTGCGCTCAAGCTGCTGTATAATTTGTCACCACTTTCATTTTCATCATTACGATCCTGCGAATAAAATCCTGCAATTTTGAAGAAAGCGACTGAATACAAAAAAACAATGGCAGCGTTCAACAAACGTTTATTTTGCAACTGTTAGAAGTTTACTTCAAGCTGATTGGATTATACTTTTAGATCTAGAAGAATGATCCTATCTCAAAAGTTATTCGTAGAATATTGTTGCTACTTTCATTTTTGTTGCCACATTCATTTATGCTTTTGTGCTCAGTTTTGCAACCATTTTATGATTGTCTGCTGAGATTGAACCATTCCTCTTGATCTAAAAGCATAACCCAATCAGCGCAAAGAAAACTTCCAACGGTTGCAAAATAAACGTTCTGCTGCTGCCGATATATATCACATATTTGTTTTATATTTAAATCTTTCGAGCACTTAAACATGAGAAATGGAGAGCAAGCAGCAATACGCGCGAAAATGCGATATCAACCGGTTTGTTTCGGGCAGAACCGGTACGCAAATCTTCTCGCGGGTAAATTCCATGATATGGAAATCTTCTCGCAGCTAAGTTCCTATGTCTCATTTCCTATGTACGGAGAAAAGGAGATTTTGCTCTTCCTCTTTCTGCTACGCCTCCATCAATAAATAAATATAACATAATTTCAAACGTATTTTTCATTAAAAACTAAAATTTAGTGTGGTTATATTTTTTTCGAAATCCAATCTCTGCTTACAGAGCGAAACGATGTCTACAATTATACGGTTCCATACGCACTGTTAGTACACATTCATTCACAAACTTACTTCTTAAATACTGATGGTGTCAAAAAACTATAATATGTTCTATTTATGAAACTTTTTTGTTAATAACGTTTTAATGAAGAATGAGTGAAGGCTAAAACCTTTTGACTGTTTTGATTGTTAATTAGCAGAATATCTTTGACAACATGTGTTAAGGTTAAGGTAACTGGTGGAGTTTCACTAAACAAAAATTTTATTAAAATGTATCTTTATACAGTGCATTAAATTAAAAGAAGTTAGTGAAAATGTTTTAGCAAACAAATTATATTACTCAATAAATTGTTATTAAAAAAACATTTGCAGCTATCGTATTAAGCATGCATTAAATATTGATATTCCACATAATACTATGATAAAAAAGAAAATTTTGATGATCGAAGGTATAATTTGTGGTGTAGACATTCATCGTCATGCTATGAAGTATGTATTTGTGTTGTTCACATCGTACGATATATTTACTAATATATAATAATATCTTTGTTTTTAAGATTGTCGAGGCATTTCATGACCACATTCGAAATAATGATGTCTTGTATTACGGGATGTGTAGCAGTTTGTTTTATTCTTAATATGTTTCAAGTAAGTTTATGGTTTCATGTAATAATACATAAAAGTTGCATCGTTATGTTATTATTGTATGTATTAATAATAAGAGCAACAAATCAATACCACATATAAAATCTAAACAAAAGTCACTAAATAATATGTAAATGATGAATACAAAATTATATACATATATTTGTAGAATGCCATAAGAAGAAAAATAATGTAAAACATAACTAAATATATTCAATTATAAAACATAGTAACATTATAGGTACACATCATTAATGCAAATTTGTAGAATGTTATTTGTCAAACATAATAAAGAAAATTAATTGTCAATCTATAGCATTGTTTGCCTATATCATATTTGCCGACAGTTCGTTTATGTACAAAAATTATTGCCTACAGCTTGATTGTCTACACATGCACTTTTGTGTATAAGTACAAATGTCAGAAACAAAATCACATTTGCCATATGTATTATTGTCTATAGTTTATACTTACATGTATTCTCGTTTATACTTACATGTATACTTACATGTGTCTCTGTTTCAGAAATTCTGTTTTAAAACATAAATTTTCTGTTTTAAGATATAGAAACTCTGTTTTAAAACAAATTCTTTACTTTAAAACATAAATTCTCTGCTTTAAAAATACACATTATTTTTTTACGTAATTTAATTTTAATTTTGTATATATATTTGTGCGTAAAAATAGGCAATCGATCTGTAGACAGTCATACATATAGACAATTTCGTCTCTTCTTTATTTGTGCGCAAAAGTGCTTGCACGCAATCGAGCTGTATCGGTAATAATCCATGTAGATAATAATACATGTAGGCAATAATATAACAACATGTAGGCAAATGTAACTTCGTTCCTGAAATTTTTACTTGTGCGCAAAAGTACATATAAGCAATCAAGATGTAAAAAAATCTTAATTGTAGGAATTAAAACTTGTCCGTTATAGATTGATAGTTATACAGATACATATGGAAAGATTGATATTTACTATGTAAAATTTGTTTCTTAGCTTTTCCAGATAGCATCATCTAAAAACAATAAAAACAATGTCATCGAATTTTTATTATCATTTTTACTTGTGTCCACAAGCATCTTATACATGTTTATAGGCCACTATCTCGGACAGAAGATAATTGATCACAATAATTATGTATTTGTTACTGCGTAAGAAAAATATTTATGTATAGGAGTATCTGCGGTTGTTGCTTTTGATATTTGTTACAACAACAGATATAGAAATTAATCTACGGCATTTAAATCAGAATATGTCAAAATTAGTTAATTAAGAAATCCAATCTGAAGTATAAGTAATCTACTATTTCTATATTCAATTCTGTAGGTACAACATTCAGTGGTATAAAACCCCGTTACAGATACAAAGAATGATATTATTTCTACTGCAAAGAAGAGCCAAGAAATTTGCATTAAATCTCGGTGGGGTATTTGATGCATCCATAGAGGGTTTTGCCACGGTAATAGTTTGTGAAATATTTTAGTATCCATTTACATACTGTTACAATAAAGAAATATGTTTATAATTGCAGTTAATAAAGACCTCCGTATCTTATTTTACAGTCATAAATTCTACACACACACAATGACAAAATATTTATTAATATATTATTATCATAATAAAAATATAGTTAATGAAAAAAAGATGATAGTTACGTTTAGAAAAAAATAGATTTATCTCTTAACATAGAGTACAAACAGATATTTCCCTGTTACAGAAGAAGATTAAAAATTCTTTGAATTAAAATACTCTCTGATACTGTTTTCATACTACATACATGTACACTAATGGACAGAAAGGTAGCGACACTTTTTTTCGATGACTTTTGGAATACGCAAAAATTTTCAAAGTGCGATTCATCTATCGATGCGTGTGACGAGCGGTTATGACAGCTGTCAAAGTCATACAGAATCGAAGTATACATGAAATTAAAAGAAACGTATCTTGTGCGTTGCGAAAAAATACTAATTGGATATCGCAAGATTAGCGTAAGTTTAAAAGAGTAAATCAATTAGATAAATTTGTTTTGTAAACGCATCGATAGATGATAAATGATCATATTCTGAAAATTTTTGCGTATACCAAAAGTCATTGAAAAGAAAATGTCGCTATCTTTCTGTCCATGAGTGTACATTGTAGAACTTTGCTTCATGGTCAAACTTCAAAGCCCATATGGTATCGCACCTTCTTTGTTTGCAATGTACATGCGTGCCGAATAGTCATGTGCGCGACATCATGTGTATGTACTGCATGATGTGCAGTGCGCAATATAATGATGTAAGCAATGCGCTATGTGCATTAAAATTGTATGAATAATGCGTTATATGCAATACAATTATCTATATAAAATAAACGTGTGCAAATAAAACTATGGGCAATTCTTTTGTAGGCAATGAGATCTCCCTTCTTCTGTACTAACCAGTCCGAATACAAACAGCGCATGTGTAAATATTATATTTTATATTATATAATATTTAAATAAAATATTTTGCAGAATTTATTACTATATAATGCAATAAATTTTTTTTTAATTAATATATTTTACTTTAACATTTATAAATATTTATGTTCAAAATTCCATTAATGAATAACATATGTTAAAAAATTAAATAAAAGAAATAAAAAGGAAAAAATATTATTAATATTTGATATATATGTACTCCTGCACAATTATCTTCTAAAATTTTTACTATACATTTAAATATTTAAAAACGTTTCGTCTTTTTTTTAATGTTTACAAATAATTCTTAAATTTTGGACTTAGTAAAAAATTAGAAAAAAATTTGCTTAAGTAGATCATAGTAAGGTCTAGTTACCTTAATATACATAAATTGTAATAATCTTACACTACCTATATTAAGCTGTATAAACAGTAATAAGATAAATTAATTAGACAAAATGTATTATTCCAAAAGAAAATATAAAATTACACATTATAAATTATATATTTTTCCTTAATTGCAATTGAAAATTTGTCATAAATAAATATATAGATTATAAACGTAAATCTATGTATTATCTATGTGTTATCGTTATGTATTAATGTAGACAGTGTATATATAGACAGTGCTGTATAATAATATTTTAACATAATTGAAATATTTTATTGAAAGAAATAAAAGAACAACGGTGTAAAGACTCTTTATATATAACAAAATAAACAAAGTAAACGGCGAAATAAGAGTCAACGCATAACACATTTAATTAAAGATATTAGTCAAAAATACATAAAGTAAAAAACGAAGCAGAACGGCGTATATCAATGTATAAAACTATTCGGAGAGAAGATAACATTACAAGTTTCGGCTGCCGGATTGAGCCCTCCTCAGATGTTAAATAATAAATAAAGTAAGTACAATACTTAGAAATTAATAGATTTATTTTTTGAACATAGAGTACGGATAGATATTTTCCTGTGTAATAGAATAAGATTAAAGTTATTTAAATTAAAATAGCTTGTTTTTATACTGCATTCATATACTATGAATAATTTCGCACATTGTATAATTTCGCTTTGCAGCCAAAGAAAGCCTTGAAAGCCCATATGGTATCAAACAATTATGGACTTTCTTTGTTTGCAATGTACATGCGTGTCGAATAGCATGTGCGCGAAACAGTCATGTGTATCACACAGTCGTATGTGCAATGTGCTGTGTGCAATATAAGCAATATGCATTACAGTTGTATGATCAATGCATTATGGGCAGCCATCTATATAATATAATCATGTACAAACAAAACTGTTGGCAACCATTTCATAAGCAAACGGGATCTCCCTTCTTTTATACTAACTATAGTACAAATAAAAACCAAATAAAAACAGCGTATGTTTATATTTTTTATATTTAAATTTGATATTATGATTACAGAATTTAATAGTTATATAATGCAATAAATATATTTTTTTATTGATATATTTCATTTCAACATTTATATATATAAATATTTATGTTCAAACATTTCATTGATAACAACATACGTTAAAAAATTGTAAAAAAGAAAAAAATTGTTAATATTAAATATATATCCCACTGAGAAATGGTAATGGAATCGACTTCGATTTCATTGACATTTCTCACTGGGATGTACTCAATACAACTTACACATACAAAAGTTTATTTTAAAATCTTCACTATACATTCAAATATTCAAAAATATTTCATGTTTTTTTGTGTTCATAAATATTTCTCAAATTTTAAACTCAGTAAAAAATTAGGAAAACTTGCTTAAGTAGATTATATTGAAATCTGGTTATATTTAAATATAAATTGTAATAATTTCACACATTGTCTGTATTAAGCTGTATAAACTGTAAGAAGATAAAGCGATTGATAAACAAAATGTATTGTTTCTTTTTCAAAAGAAAATATAAAATTACACATTACAAATTACATATCTTTCCTTAACAGCAATTAAAAGTTTGTAACAAAGAAATGTACAGATTATAAACGTGTATCTATGTATTGTATTACTGTGATGTATCAGTGTAAACAATGTAGACAGGAAGTGCTATATATCAACATTTTAACATAACTGAAATATTTTATTTAAAAAAATATTTTTTCTGTACAAATCAATGTGCAGTAAAATTTTTTAAAAAGTTGACTTTAAGGTATAAAGATATTTTTCCTCTGCAAAATAATTCTTTAAATTTCATTTCATTCAAATTTCATTCTTTATAACTCAGTAACTTTTTTTAAAAATTACAGATATTTTTCTGTAAAAAAAAAAAAGAATCAAAATATTGGTACTTCGAATTTCTACAGTAAAGTACCAAAATCAATATATGTATAACTGTTAAAACATATTACAGCGTAAATATACTTTACATTATCGGAAATAAAATTTTTTGCGTGCTAAATTTATTATTAACGTATAAGAAATTTTATTACACTTAATTAATTATTTTTATATCAACATGTATAAACATTGTACATAAATTCAAAAATTTCATTAATAGTAGAAAACTAAAAAATAAATAAATATATAAGAAAGATTATTATACATCAACAGTTCAAATTATACTATAGACAAAAAAACTTACAAATCAGCATTCGACTTGATTGTTAGAAATATTAATTTCATCAAACATAATTTTAAAATGTAATAATGTTATATATTAATGCTATCATTTTCAATTTATGAACATTATCAGAGAGATCAGAATATTGAAAAAAATTAAAGAAAAGCGATATTCTCTCGGAGTGTATCGGGCAAATGCGTAGACTAGAATGAAGTTCTGGCGTGGAGAGAAAGAAAATGCGCCTGCGTGGCAGATAACTTATTTTCATGAGAAAATATCATCCGTCGAATTACTAGTAGTATCAAATCAATAACATAAACATTCGTAATTTGCTCAGAAAGTTAAATTCACCGCCGTTAGATCTATACAGCAATCATTTACACAACTAATCATTATAAATTATGAAATTTACTATAATTAATAAAATTGTACCAGAAAACATGAGAATGTGAAATATTTTGTCAAATAGTAAAAAAATGGGATAAGTATACTTTCAACGATGTTTAGACTTCACAGTAATACTTTGACGCTCGACGAGAAAATGGTACATCCAGAAATTGAGTATAATAATCTCAATAAGATTCTATTGCTTGCTGTAGGTTTATGGCCTTATCAACAATCCAAATTTACTCAATTTCAATTTATTTTCTTCTGTGCTATTTTGTCCGCAAGTATTGTTTTTGAGGTAAAAAAAACCTTACATTATTACATAATATAAATTACTGCATGACAATATTTCATTACAATTATTTATATCAATCTATATTATGCAATTTAATTTTTATATATTAAATGAGAAACTACAAAGTACTCACTATAGAGATGCAAATTGTTGATTCACAATTATATAAGCATTTCTTTGTATGTGACTGTTAATATATGCCGTTTTAAGAAATAATATATCGCATTTTTTAAAATCATATTTATATATGAAATTTTGTAAAACTAACTTTTTGCAGTTGACACCATTAATAATATTAAAATGTACTTTAGACCTTGTAATAAAGGTGCTGTCTTCCGCATCTATCTTTATATTGTGCATGATAAAATATAGCTCATTCCATCTTAACATTGAAATTGTAAGTTCGTAACTTACCGAGTATTCGTTAATTAGAATTAATTTGTCTATCAAAAAATTGTAATTGCACAAAGTGTTTTTGTGATATATACAAAAACAGTATAGAAAATTAATAATATAATAGGTAAAAAATTTATTCATGGAGCTTCGATATATACTCAATGAGTTAAAGGATAAAAACGAAATTGCAATTATATACAAATATAGTTGCACTGCTAAACGTTATACGGTTACTCTTACAGGTAAGATAATATTTATTAATTTTGTGTAATATTTTGCAATATTTGGACTTGAAGGTTTAATTTGGGTAATAAATCTTTCTATTTGTGTAAAAACCTTTTTCTTTAAAATATATTGTTCTACTTTTTACTCGAAGTGACTAGACCGCACCTCTCCCTCTGTCAAGGAAGCGTGAAAATTCGTGCAACCCTTGTAGGTTGGAAATAGAAAAGGTGTCGTTTCGCATGGAAAGTCGTGCGCCCGTAGACGCGGGGAGAGGCAACAAATGGCTTTTGTTTGCATAACATCATACTAAGCTATATTCGGAAACATCACCCGAGTGTCATTTAACTTTGTTGTTCACCCAATGTTAAGCAGGGATAAAATGATACATGAAGCACCCAGATGATGTTTCCAAACGCAACCCAAGAAGGATCTTTATATTTATAAACATTAAAGAATGTAGTCGTTAACAAATTTTTGTTCATTCCATTTAAAATATAATTTTTTTCCACAATAAGCACAATTTTTTTTTTAAATATTATATATACGTTTTTTAATAATTAGTTTTGTTCATAACATTGCCAATGTATTTAATATGCATATATAGTATACAAATCAAATAAAAAATAAAATTATCAATTTTATAATAAAATCTTATTCTATTAAAAAATGTTTTATAGTACAGTGTATAATACGTAATACATACATAAAATGATATAGCTATCAATTTGACAGTAAAATCGAAGATAAAAATTAATTCATAATATTATACATGCATACAGTACCTATATGTAAAACAATTTTAGATACTAAGAATTTAAATAAATTCTTTTTATTTCTTTTTAGGTTTTGGAATTTGTGGAATGTTCAGTCTTATAATAGTTCAAATTTGGTCATTTATAGCTGATGTTAATGCAATGAACACATCTCATTCACATCATTTACTCATTATGTCAGAGTACCTTGTCGATCCAGAAAAGTACTTATATTGGATTCTGTTATATATGTACACAGTATTAGGTATTACATCGATTATAATATTGGGAATAGGTACAATGCTCATTACATATATTGAGCATATTTGTGGAATATTTAAAATTGCTAGGTATGAATGTACATAGAAGCATAATAATTTTAACTGTTATATAAAATTAATAATTAATTAACAAAAAAACACATATGCAGCTATCGCATTAAGCATGCAGTGAACATCGATGTTCCACAAAATATTACGAATATAAAAAATAAAACTTTAATGATCGAAGATATAATTTGTGCCGTAGACATTCATCGTCAAGCTATGAAGTATGTATCTGTGTTTTTTTCATCGTGCGATACATTTATTAATATTTTGTTTTTAAGAATGACGAAGCATTTCATGACCACATTCGAAATAATGATGGCTTGTATCACAGGATGTTTAGTAGTTTGTTTTAGTTTTAATTTGTTTCAAGTAAGTTTACGATTTCATGTAATAATATATGAAGATTACATTGAAATTGTTATTTATTATTAATACTGTAATTTTATAAATATATGTATATAAAAGCAACAAATCAATATCAGATATAAATCTTAAACAGAAGCCGCTAAATAATATATATTAATATTATAATGATGAATGTATAACTATATACATATATTTGTAAATATCATAAGAAGAAAAATAACGTAAAACATAATTGATTATAAAACATAGTAACATTGTAGGTACACATCATTAATGCAAATATGTAAAACGTTTATTGTCAAACATAATAAAGAATCACAAATCAATTGCATACAGCAGCATTTACCAACAGTTTGCGAACAAAAATTGTTGTCTACAATTCGATTGTTTATATTCCACATGCACTTTTGTGCACAAGTAAAAATTTTAGAGATAAAGTCACATTTGCCTACATGTATTACTGCCTACAGCTCGATTGCCCACATGTACTACTCTCTGCTTTAAAAACACAAATTCTGTTTTAAATCAAATTCTTTTCTTTAAAATACAAATTACTTATTTATGTATTGTAATTTAAACTTAATTTTATGTATATATTTTATGTATATATTTTTGAACAAAAGTGCTTATAGCCAATCGATTTGTAAATAATAATACAAATGTAAGTGAATTTCACTTCGTTTCTAAAATTTTTATTTGTCCCCAAAAGTGCTTATAGCCAATCAAGCTCTAGGTAATAATTTATGTAGACAATAATACCTGTAGGTAAATGTGACCTCGTTTCTGAAATTTTTACTTGTGCAAAAGTGCATATAAGCAGTTAAGAGCAAAAAAATCTTAGTTGTACGAATAAATAAAACTTGTTATATAACTATCAATCTATAATTTGCACGTTATAGATTGATAGTTAAGACATATGTAGATACATATGTAGAAGATTGATATTTACTATGTAAAATTTGTGTTAGCTTTTCCAGATAGCATCATCTGAAAACAATAAAAATAATGTCAACGAATTTTTATTACCATCTCTTTTTGCGTCTTCAAGCATCTTATACATGTTTATAGCTCATTATGTCGGACAGAATATAATCGACTACAATAATCACGTATTTGTTACTGCGTAAGAGAAATATTCTTATTTAGCAATATGTGCAATTGTTGCTTTTTCCATTTGTTAAAACAGTACAAACAGAAATTGATCTGCGACATTTAAATTAGAAAATATGCCAAAATTAATTGATTAAGAATTCCAATTTTAAATAAGCAATCTTCTATCTCTATATTCAATTCTGTAGGTACAACGTTCAGTGGTATAAAACCCCATTACATATACAAAGAATGATACTATTTCTACTGCAAAGAAGAACCAAGAAATTTTCATTAAATCTCGGTGGGATATTTGATGCATCCATAGAGGGTTTTGCCACGGTAATAGTTTGAGGGATATTTCAATTTCCATTTACATATAGTTACAATAAAAAAGTATGTTTATAATTGCAGCTAATAAAGGCCTCTGTATCTTATTTTACAGTCATGCATTCTACACAATGACAAAATAAATATTTATTAATTTATTATTGTTAATAAAAATATTTATTATTGTGTTAATAAAAATATAGTTAATAAAAAATGATGATAATTACAGTTATAAAATAATAGATTTATTTTTTTACTATAGAGTACATATCAAGGTTACCACAGAAAATGAATTTTAAAATTGCTTAAGGTCATAATATAGAATCTGGTTTAACCTTAATATAAATTGTGACAATTTTACACTGCATAAACTGTAATAATATAAAGTGACTGATGCAGACAAAGTATATTTTTTTCGTTTTCAAAAGAAAATATAATATTGCATATTATAAATTATACACTTTCCCTTAATTGCAATTAAGAATTTGTAATAAACAAATATACAGATTATAAACGGGTTAATATACATCTATGTATTGTATTATCGTTACATATCAGCGTAGATAGTATAGACAGAGGTCTCGGAAGTCTAAAGGCTTAAGACTCTCTCATGGAATACAAGAGACCCGAATTCGACTTCCGGCTAAAGTAATATTTTTCGCAATAAATTTATTTACAGTTTTTCAGTACATTAAGATCTTTCTAATAGAATGCCGGATTAGGCATCCAATTATTAAATTGCTTTCAGTTTAACTTGTGATGATATTACTATAGTAGTTCAATTGCGTTTATAAGTCCAAAAAATCAATTCGGCGCGCAATTTGAATGATTACATATTTAGTATATAAATTTACATAGAAATTATTTAAAAATAGATATCTAAGAAACAGCTTCAACCATTATAAGCATAAAAACGAAATATTTTAAAGTAAGAAAATATTTTTCCTTCAAATATGCAAAATAATTACTCCTTTGATTTAAATTTAATTTTAACTCAGTAATTTCTTTAACATATACAGAAATTTTTCTACTAAGACAAGAAAGATCAAGATATTGGTAGTCAAATTTCTACAAAGTACTGAAATTAATATAAGCATAATTGTTAAAATATATTGTAACAAATGTTTTCATATACTTTATATTATCGGTAAATAAAGTCTTCTGCGTGCTAAATTTATTATCGACAAAAATTTTTATTTAATATCGATAAAAATTATTACTCTTACTCAATTATTTTTATATCAACATATATAAGTAAAAAAGATAAAAATTTCATTAATAATAGAAAACTAAAAAATTAAGAAATAAAAAGAAAAAAATATTATAGAATGAATAGTTTAATTACAGGCAATAATTATACACAACAAACTTACAGATCAGCATTCGCCACTTGCTTGCTAAAAATATTAATGTTGTCAAACGCAGTCTTAAAATGTAATGTTCTGTATAAATGCTGACATTTTCAAATTATGAATTTTATCAGATAGATCACGATAACGAAAAAATTAAAGTAAAGGAATATTCTCTCGAAGTGTGTATCGCGTGAGTGCGTAAACCAGAATAAAGTTCTGGCGCTGAGAGAGAGAAAATACGCTTGCGTGACAAATAACTTATTTTCACACACATGAGAAAATAACATCTGTTAAATTACCTGTAATGGTAAACCAATAACAAATAATTTGATGAAAGGATATGTTAAATTCAACACCATTAGATCTCATACAGCAAACTTTTACAGAACCAATTATTACAAATTGTGAAATTTACAGCAAAATTTATGTCAGAAAACATAAGGAGGATGTGAAATACTTAGTCAAATAATGAAAAAATGGAATAAGCATAATCTTTACAACATTTTCAGTCTGCACAGAAACTTTGACGCTCGAAGAGAAAATGATACATCCAGAAATTCAATATAATAACCTCAATAAAATTCTATTGCTTGCTATTGGTTTATGGCCTTATCAACAATCTAAATTTACTCAATTTCAATTTATTTTCTTCTGTATTGTTTTATTAGCAGGTATTATATTTCAGGTATAAAATAATATAAAATTATTATATGTATGACATAAATTACTGCGTGACAATCTTTCACTTTAATTGTTTATATCAATCCATATAATTTAATTTTTATATAAAAAATAAGAAATTACAAAGTACTAGCTATAGAGGTGTTGGTTCACAATTGTATGTATAAGCATTTATTTGTATGTAATCATTAATACATGCCGTTTTAAGGAATAATATATCGTTATTTTTTTAAATTATATTTATATACAAAATTTTGTAAAACTAACTTTTTGCAGTTGACACCATTAATAATATTAAAATGTACTTTAGACCTTGTAATAAAGGTGTTGTCTTCCGTATCTCTCTTCATATTGTGCATGATACAATATAATGCGTTCTATCTTAACATTGAAATTGTAAGTTCATAACTTACTAAGTATCCGTGGATAGAATTAACTTAAAAACATGTCATTAAAAACATTTTTATTGCATAAAGTGTTTTTGATGTATACGAAAAGAGTATAGAAAATTAATAAATAATAGGTGAAGAATTTATTGACGGAACTTCGATATATACTCAATGAGTTAAAGGATAAAAACGAAATTGCAATTATATACAAATATAGCTGCATTGCTAAACGTTACACAGTTACGCTTACAGGTAAGATAATATTTATCAATTTTATAATATTTTTAATTGGTAAATATTCAGAAGTGATCTTCTAAAAATCGCGGTTTCTTTTTCAGTAATGGACAAAAAATAGTTACAAAACTATTACACGTGCGTGCCATATTTTAAGAGAGGGCTTGTGATTTTTGGAAAACAAAATTCTATTTAAAAGATGAATAAAAAAGTTTTAATTTTTATTGAAATATTAATATAAAGAAAACTTTATATTAATAGTTTCTTTATATTAATATTTCTTTATTTTCTACATTATTATCTCTACTTGTCACGAGATCGAACTAAAACGATCGTCAAAATTGTTGATCAAGATTGGAAAAATGTATTCACTCCCCCCCTCTCCTCTCTTAAAAGGCGTTCGACTTTCCACGCAAACCGAGTTTCACCCCATCTCCCTTTTCTGCTTAAGGGCGCACGACTTTTCACACAAAACAAAATCTAACCGAATGAAAAGTTCTGTGTCCCTTAGCGGGGGTAAAATTCATTTCGCGTAGAAAATGGTGCGTTCCTAGGCGGAAAGAGGGAAGGGAAGGCGGTTGGATGGACTTCGTTTGCGTAGGGTCGCACTAGAATGACCATTATACATATTTATAGTGTATAACATTTAAAGTGTATAGATGCTAAAGGATTTTTGTTCATTCTATTTGAAATATAATTTTTTTCTACAAGAATCACAAGCATTCTCTTAAAACGTTGTACACATAACACACATTGTCTTTTTATAACTAGTTTTTTTCATTACTAAGAAAAAAATCATAATTTTTGGTGAAATATTATGACATTCACTCTTTCATACAAACATTTACATATGATTTATTATATAAATCTGATGAAGCATTTGTCACTCTCTAAATCCATTGGCGTGAAATTTCACTCCGGAAAATTTAGAGAATGTATGTGCATCTGCGAGGAATGGCCAATGTGTTTAATAAATTAAATAAAATTTAAAATAGTTAGCAATTTTACAATAAAATCTTATTCTGTTAAAAAAAGTTTTGTAATACAGCGTATTCGTAAAATAACACAGCTATCATTTTTGCTGTAAAATCCAAGATAAAAATTATTTCGTAATACTCGTACATAAACAATTTCAGATATTAAAAATTTAAATATTTTTTTTTATTTATTTTTAGTATTTGGAGTTTGTGGAATATTTATTATTATTATAGCTCAAATTTGGTCATTTATAGCTGATGTTAATACAATGAACACATCTCAATCACATCATTTACTCATTATGTCAGAGTACCTTGTTGATCAAGAAAAGTATTTCTATTGGATATTATTGCATATGTACGGAGAATTATGCATTGCAACAGCTATAATGTTAGCAACAGGTTCAATGTTTATCTCATATCTTCTACATACCTGTGGAATGTTTAAAATTGCTAGGTAAGAATGTAGACATAGAGGAAAGAAATGGGCATTTGTTATAATCTTTTAATCATCAGATTAGTTATTTTTATACATACAATTTATTTAACAAAATTTTTGTGGAAGTATGTTTTTAATTAAAAAATTGTGTCTTTAATTGCTACATAATTACAATTAAATATTTATACAGTTATCGTATCAACCATGCAGTAAATATTAATACCATACGAAATATTACGTTAAAAAATAAGGTTTTCATGATCAAGAGCATAATTTGTGCTATAGACATTCATCGTCAAGCAATGAAGTTTGTATTAATACCAACATACAATATTTATGCAGTATATATACAATTAAGGCTCCATCACGAATCTTTAGATTAACGTCAAATATGCATAATAAAAAATATCGTAAAAAATACATAATACACTTAGTAAAAATATTTTTTATTTAAAACAATATTTGTATCTGGTAAGGTAACTTGTAAAATATACTGAAAATTCTCCTTTTATTTTGAAATAGAATCATATTTATCTCAGGTCGATAGCTATCATATATTATAGCTTATTTCGTTGTTTGTATAAGCATAATTTAATTTTAAATAATTGTTATTAAAATAGTGTCGTTTAAAATAATTCACTATTTATTGATTTAATAAAAAATATTTTTTATAAAAGTAGAATGATTTCAAGGGGTATGTATTCTGATAACATTGTATTTCTTCTAGGTGCAAAAACATATAAAAGTCATCTCCACTTTTTTAAATAGAATTATATGATTTTTTTATATAATATAATTCCTCTAATTATTCTGTATATATATTAAATAAAAAAATTATATAACTTCATTTAAAAAAAGTAAAAATAATCTTCACATCTTTTTGGCACTTAAAAGAATAACAACGCAATATAAAATTGCTTCACTTTCATATAAACATTTTTTTTATTAAATTAACAATTAATGAGTTATTTTAAGCAGCATATTTATAGAAACACCTTTTATATGGTTATTTATTGTCACACAAAGAAAGAGTTGTGGGTATATTTTACAAATTCATTCTAATGATTGCAAAATTATATTAAAAAGAATGTGTTGACATTTTAATATAATTTGCAAAAATTTTATGTATTTTTTTCGTTTCTAATATCACAATAGAAGATGGCTGCAGTGAGTACGCAGAAGGAATAATAATATTTTTATCATTTTTAAATAATATATTTATTGTTTATGAAGGTTGTCCAAGCATTTAGTGTCCTCATTCGAGATAACGCTGCTTTGTTTCACTGGAGGAACAGTTGTTTTCTTTACCCTCAATTTGTATCAAGTAAGTTTCCGGTTTCGTGTAGTAATATATGAGATTTGCATAAAAATAATATATTATAATTCTGAATACATATAAGAGTCAATAAATCAATACAACAGTTATAAATCTTCAACTCTCTAAATTTCTTAAAGTAAAATCTCACTTCAAAAAAATGAAAATACTACCATTATTGAAAAAATATAAATATTTACACTCTTGAATAAAAGTGACAGATTTTTATTCTTTTTTAGAGTAAGATTTCAATCTTTTGGAGTAAGATTCACTCCAAAGAAGGAGTAAGATTTCTTTCTTTTCGATTAAATCTTATTCCAAAAAAGTGAAATATTATTCTACTCCTATTCAAGGATGCAAATATTTTCACTCTTTTTCAATAGTGGCAGTATTTTCATTCTTTTGGAGTGAGATTTCACTCTAAGAAATTTCGAGAGGACGGAAGCCAGTAAATGATATATAAATGATGCTCACTATATATGTATACATATGTAGATACAATGAAAAGAATAATAATTAAAAAATGTATTCTAAATGTTATAAAATGTAATAACACTGCACTATATCTCAGTAATAGGTTTGTAGATAAGTTTCTTACCTTATTTTAGTCTTAATTTCTTACCTTATTTCAGTCCTGTATATACAGAGTAAAATAACCGCCAAATATTTCGTGCGATATAACTGGTAGAGTAGAACGGCATAACTGAGTCGAGAAGTCCTCTACCATTTTGCAATTTTCGCAATAGTAACAAGATATCAATTACTAAAAATTGCCAAATATTAATTCTGTCAACAATGTTTTTGGCGGTCATTCTGAGACACATATATAATTGTTTATTATCATTATATTTATATATCTAACTTGTTTACTAAAAAAATATAATTTTCTTTGAATAAATTTTTGTTACACAAAAAAGTTTATTAAGCATATACTTTTAGCCGTCTTTCCCTATTTATATAAAAACAGAAGACGTATTAGT